TATTAATGTAATTTTGTGTTTTGTTCGGTGGAACCCAGGAAAAATAGCCTGATAAATAAATAAATTAATTAATTAATTAAATGTCGTAAATATTTTACAATTTAATACAAATATTTCCATTTTCATTCATTTTCTATCAAAATAAAATTATTAGAAAATGTTTTTGTTTTTTTAATTGGCAAAGCAACATTAACATGTTTAATACTTTAACAATACTGGCGTTTTCTTTCTTAAGCGATACCAGTGACAATCTATTTAATAACAAATAAAGGAAAGACCATTTTTATAAAACGTTTTCTCAGCTCCAAGCATTTTTCTTGCTTTCTTATTTTGATCAAATACAACATCGGGAAGCATTCATAATCCATTACAATGTCTATATTGTAGTTGCTGGACCAATGAATTAATAAATGAAGAGAATTCTACTCTTTTATTGATGGTGTTTAAATATAGCTACTGTGAATTTAAAGAGGAATTGAAAGTGGACGGCTCAAATCCACCTCTTCTCTATATTCTCTAAGAGTCTGTGTTTGTCAAAAAGATTAACCGTGTTTTCTAAAGGTAATCAATGCTATAATTGTCCTTCGTATCATCTTGAAGCCTTAAATGTCTTTCGATTTCTTTAGACATTTAGAAAGAACTTTTTAAGACTTAATGAAGCTGATCTACACATAAAAACAACTGATTTAGTTCCACAACTGTTCAAAAAGCTAGTGGAAAAAAATATTTATAATCATTCATTAACTTTTTTCTACTTCCACAGTTTTCTGCAGTGTAAAAGGATAGTTCGCAAAAAAAAAATAATAATAAAAATACTCATTGATTTAAGTGGTTCCAACTCTTCAACGAATTACACTGTAAAAAAGCGGTTAGTTAAAAAATAGCCATAAAAGTAACAATTTAACTTTACTTTAAAAAGTGAGTAAATCAGTTAAGTTGGAATGGTTAAGTTAACCTAACTTCATTTTTATAATTATGCACATTTATTTACTTAATAATTTTAAGACAATGGGTTCACTTTTTAAGTAAAGCCAAACAATCTCTTTTTTACAGTGAATGCAGCATTCTTCAAAATACTTTCTTTATTGTACAACAGAAGAAAAAATGGTTACACTTTGGGTACAATTCTCGCTATTAACAGACCATTATATAGGACTTTTAGCTCAACAGACTCCTAATTTGCTGCTTAGTAGCTATTAAGGTAGTTGCGTTTAGATAGGATTAGGGATGTACAATAAAATCATGCTGAATCTATAAGTACAAACAAACAGCCTATATCTTAATAACAGGTAGGTATTAATAATGTAATTGTATTTTTTAATTTGTGTATCTATTTATATAGTCCATTTATCATGTATGGCCCATCAAGTATACACCCAAAGCGCTTCACAGTCATTGAGGGGGGTCTCTCCACATCATCACTAGTGTGCAGCATCCACTTGGATGATGCGACAACAGCCACAGGACAACGGTGCCACTGCTTCACCACACACCAGCTATAGGTGGAGTGGAGAGACATTGATAGAGCCAAATCGGTGGATGGGGATGATTGGGAGGCCATGTTGGGGAAGGGCCGATCGAGAGAATTTGGCCAGGACAGCAGGGTTACTTTATCGCTGTCAACACTGCCAATTTTACACTGTCCTGTTTTTTTTTTTTGAAGTATGCTGTTGCATTTTGCACTGTCGTTGTATTTGCACTGTCTGGAGCGAGCACCTAAGCTTTTCCCTCATCGAAGCACACATGCCGCTGATAATGTGACAATAAAAGTGATTTGATTTGATTTGATTTTACGAGAAGTGCCATGGGATTTTTAATGACCACAGAGAGTCAGGACCTTGATTTAAAGTCTCATCCAAAAAATAGCACTCACTGGTAGTGTCCGCTTCAATATACTGGGGCATTCGGACTCACACAGACCGCAGGTTAAGCTCCACTTCCAACAGCAACATAGCTTTCTTATGTGGTCCCCCATCCAGGTACTGAACAGGCTCAGCACTGCTTAGCTTCAGTGACTGTGGCATAATAAATGAGTTAATAGTGAGAATTGGTGTTTAAACTAGTGTTAGCTTTAAAATAAAGGTTTGAAACCACTTGATAGTAAGAAAATAATTTGTCAATGTTCATTTTTGATGAAATATCCCTTTGATTTGACATATTTCTTTCATCTTTTCAATGTCATATTCATTAAAATGTACAAACCACATTAACCACCAAGCACAATCCACATAAGCTCTGCCTCCAACAACAAGCTGAAGCACACAGGAACTACACACATGCTAAACTTCTAAGATTTAACAGCCATGCTTTATCTTTCTTGGATCTCCTGCAAGGCAGAAGTTGTTTCTACTAAACCACCAAAGCTATATACCAATCCGCGTATAGAACAATTATAAAGGCCTTTAATGTCCTTGAGGCTCATTGAGAAGCTCAGAAAATTGAACGCATAAGAAAGGGGGATGGTGGACATAAGATGAAGAAAAGACCAGTGAAAATGGGCTTTAAGATTGCTGCTGATTAGTCACATCTGGTCAGATTTATTATGCAGGGTGTACCTAAAATATGGCAAAAGTGTCTGCCACTGCCAGTTACTGGAAATTTAATTTGAGATGTCAAACATAAGTGACGGCATATGAAATGAAACGGTAGAATGTTAGACGGCTGGCAGAGGATTTGCAATATTAGAAGTGCTGTATAGAGACATCAGCTTTTATATCCCAAGACAAGCTTGTAAGAGGTGAGTGTTACAGTATTTGCTCTTGTTTAAACGGAGATTGTTCATGCGTGCCAGCAGTGATGCGATGTGTGGAGCAACATTGACTCCAAGTGGACACTTGTTATAATTGCACTGTCGGTTTGCAATAATTCAATCCAGTGGACGTCCTGGATCTTCCATTGCTTGCATTTTTTCTGTTTTCAGAGCAAACCTGAGAAAAGCACAGATTGTGAAAACTGTCATGTGATAATATGATGATGATCAGGGCATTATATTTATACATTGACGATTGGGGGGTCAAGTTTTTCGATTATGTTCGGTAATATGCCTCAGTGAACCAAATTTATAGATTTAATTCAATTACATATAATTTATTAATCAACCTTGTTATCATGTTTTTAGCGTTTTGAGGGATTTGTGATATTAAATAATTATATTAATAGATGACCAAAGACTGCACGTATTGTTTATATAGCCTACGTCCATGTGCAAGCAAGTGTATAGAAAATACAAACTGCATCCTAGAAAATACAAACTGTAATTCGCTGTCTGTTGTTACTCTAGATTTTGTCGGGTTTTACACATTACATACATTCACAAATTATGGACCATTGCAAATTACAGGGGTGGTCTGTGGTCAAATGTAGTTACGTTATCTTTTATTTTAATTAATCTATTATTTTCATTCATTCATTTTCTTGTCGGCTTAGTCCCTTTATTAATCCAGGGTCGCCACAGCGGAATGAACCGCCAACTTATCTAGCAAGTTTTTACGCAGCGGATACCCTTCCAGCTGCAACCCCTCTCAGGGAAACATACACACACACACACTACAGACAATTTAGCCTACCCAATTCATCTGTACCACATGTCTTTGGACTGTGGGGAAAACCGGAGCACCCGGTCCCGGAGGAAACCCACTCGAACACAGGGAGAACATGCAAACTCTACACAGAAACGCCAACTGAGCCGAGGCTCGAACCGTGAGACAACAGCACTACCTACTGCGCCACTGCTTCGCCCCTAATCTATTATTTTAATTATTAATATTATTCAAAATACAGATCAGAACAAACTATTTCTTAACAATTAAAGGGCAAACCTCCGCACACACTCCCTCTCCCCCCCCCCCCCCCCCCCCCCGTAATTTGCACCCTGATTCAGGGTAAAAGTATAAGGCAATTATTGGGCAAAACGTGCCTTATAAATAGCAAAATATTTCTGAGTGTCTTTTAAATACTTTAAGCTTTGTTAAAATATTTTTTTATACATTGAAACTTTTTATTGCAAATGTTCTGTTGTTTGTTCAGCTCAGTTTTGTGCATGCGCGCTGTGTGCGTGCGTGCGTGCGTGCGTGTGTTTGTGTGTGTGTGTGTGTGTGTGTGTGTGTGTGTGTGTGTGTGTGTGTGTGTGTGTGTGTGTGTGTGTGTGTGTGTGTGTGAAAACTAAAAATGGTTAATCTATGGCATCAATAAACCCTGGTTTTCAGAACCTTGATTTTTAACATTAAAGTGCAACGTAAAGCATTTTCCAAGTTTCTGTAATGTTGCATTAAATTATAATAATTATTATTATTATTATTATTGAAAATATGATAAACAATAATAATATTTAAATTAAATTATTCATTCATTCATTTTCTTTTCGGCTTAGTCCCTTTATTAATCTGGTGTCGCCACAGCGGAATGAACCGCCCAAATTAAATGAGTTATTATGAATTTATTATAGCCTATTGATAATAATAATATTATTATTAATAATAATAATAATAATAATAATAATAATAATAATAAAGTTGAACTTACTCTCGCTCTAATTTGCTTTATCGTTTAATAAATGTAAGCACACAGTTTACTGGACTGATAAGGTTTTTTTATTTTATAAAAAATAAATACGTATACGTTTCCTGACATAATGACAGGAAAATTAATACTAAAATAAATAGTTTTGACTGTAAATAAAAAGAAAAAGGTGGAGCTCTGCAGTTAATATTTTATTTTCATAAAACAATTGTTATTTATTTTATAAACTTTACTTTATTGTTATTTTATAGTTATAAACTATGATAATGCCTCTTACAATGTTAAACAACATCACCATCATGATGTAACCAAACTTGTTCTGCAGAGTTTAGCTCTTACTTTCTTCCACATACTTTCCGGGGGTTGGAGATAAACTCTGTTGGGCATTGGCCCTCAGTACTTTTAAAACTGTACTACCTCTATTGTCCAGCAGCTCAGCAGCGCAATGTCCTTGGAGGCGCTATAAGCAACAAAAGCAGCACACAAGTTCAACTTCACACACACTGTGCGTTTGTCTTCCAGCAAGTCACCTGCGCTTCCAGCAATGGCCCTGTTCAAATCCAGCAAGATTTTGTCTAGTGTCGGGTCTCAGACCCCTGTTTTAGCAGTCTTACAGCTCCGGGCAAGGTAATTTGAGCCTATGTTTTTCTTGTGCAAACACTCAGTTGACAAGTTAGCCTATGCTAGCGAGTTAGCGCACTAAGCAGCACAGCACTGCTTAAAGTTACAGTATGAGAATCTACTCCCACACAGGGATTTTAACCTTGTGCTTTTAATTCAACGTAGAACTACCGTATGCATGCTTTTGGTGTTAAACGAGTATTTATGTCTTTCAGACTGACATCATTCATAATAGCGTGAGCTGCTGTCAAATGTCAGAAGTTACAAACCTTATATAGTCGAACAGTTCCTGAGATCAGCAGACAGACGAGATATTTTTTGTAAAGGTGTTCATAATGGTGTTCATAATAATAATCAGCGCTACATCAGGTTCAACCAGGCCTTGCTGGCTGCAGGTTATCAGGCACCTAGCAGAACACTTTTATTTACTTACTTTTACTTTGCAATTTTGTATACTTGAAGTACCCCTTTGTTTACTACAGGAATATTATTTCATATTTATTCATAAATGTTCGTATTATTTCATGTTCATTCAATATCATTATTATGCATTTTGCTTTTATTTAACATGCATTTATTTAGTTTTGCATTAATGTAGTTCCTTTTACTGATGTTTTTTTTCTTTGTATTTATTTAAAATTTATGTTTATTCATTGAATATATGTTTTATTTGTTTGTTTGCTTGTCAACCTTGGGTTTACTTAATTATATAAGACCTAATTTTTCTTTGACTTGAGTAGAAATATTATAAAAAGAGTATGCCCTGGTAATGTCACATTACACCCACTTCCTCCTATTTCACCAATCACAACAGCCCATACTCAACCACAGACATGGATGCATGACTACATAAAACATCTAAAACTTTAAATTGTTGTCATTTGTTAATTTTTTTGTATTTTGATATTGAGGATAAACGCAGTAGTATCTCTTAAAAGCTGAGAGAACACCAAATGTGCAAGTAGCTTGTTTTTTATTGTAGTTTTAGTTTCTGACATTTAGAGCTGGGTTGAGATGGGCAGTATGTGAACATGACACATGATTGGCTCTGATGCTGAGGGTGGGGTGTTGTGCACCTCTTTCCATTGGATTACAGTACTACTTTTATGTGGGTGGGGTTTGGATTGGAATTATACTCCCATTTTATACCGGTAATTACAGAGATGACCTACTGTTTGCCTGTGTAAGCTAACAGGTTCTTTATTTAGAAAGACATGGCCTTTCTGAAACCTTGTGCCAAGAATCTATCAGGACAAATACAGCTATGCTACGTGCCTCAAAGGCATTATGCTCCAGATTTAAGTGCAGACATGACTGTAAGCCTCATTACTGGTGGTAAAGGAATTTAGCAGTCGTTCAAGCTTTTAATTACCTTCCATCCAGTTTAAAAAAACAAAAACAAAAGCTATGTAATAATTATCACTTTCTGATAAACTTGGAGTAAAAACTTCCAAAGAATGGATAGATATTTTTCTTAATAAATGCACAATTTAGTTTTAGGGAAAGATTAAATGAGTCTGTATGTAACTATTCAAAGTAATTGAACTTCAGCCTTCCAAAATGGTTTGGAATTCATAGTTATGGGAGTGTTTGACTTCAGTTACTGTAAAAAGTTAATAGAGTTGTGGATTTAAAATTTTGAACTTTTGCATTTACATTCACAACATATTGATCAATACAGTATGCTGCTCTGTGATGGCCCTTTGAAAGTAAAATTAAATGTTCAAAATCCAAAGTAAAAACCAGCAAGCCAGCAATGATATTCAACCATTTTAAACTACCAAATTTACTTTAGCTACGTTCACAATCACATTGACTATGTTTACATGGACATCAGTAATCAAATGATTTGCCTTAATTTGATTAAGACAATAATATATTTAAGGTCTTTACCTGAGTTTTTTCTGTTTCTTTCATGATCCCATTTTATATGTTATAACACATAGTTCGACTAACATCATTGCGTCATGTCTTAATTTGATTTCTGTTTAGTTCCATTATTACCTTAATCAGATTAAATTTATCAGATCGGATTATTGGTGTCCATGTAAACATACTCACTGTCAGTCAAATCGAATTCCAAAATGTGCATTTCTGTATTGATGTAACAGATTTGTTTAGTGATTCACGAATTGGCAAAAAAAAGTAGCTAAAAGTAGCTTAAAATGTCATTGGGAGCAAATTTTACTAAAACAAATGAGATCATACTAATTCATATGAATTAGCCACTAAGTCAAGAAGTTAGAAAGTGCCTTGAGATTGTGTAGGTCAACTGAAAATATTTTTCTAGATCTGAGGTTTCCCGAACTGTGTACCATGGTAGTTAAGAAGCTAATTATGTCAATGCATTGTTGGAGGAACTAAGTAGTAAGTCAAGTTTCTTGAATTATTATTAATAATAAAAAAATTATTATGCTGCACTAACAGTTTTTGAACCATATTGCTAAGAGAATGGTAAGTTATGGTTAGGACGATTAGTTAGTGACATTGCACAGGTGGTGGAGTGATAATTTCTGCTAATTAAAAATAACCAGATCAAAATAATGTCAGATTACTGTTACAAATTACAAAAATTATATCTATGGACTATATGGATTATACACGTAAATGTGAGTGGTTACAATAAGATATGCAAAAAAATTGGTTTGGATTGAGCATCTGAACAAGGTTTTTACTTTTTTTTTTTTTCTCAGCTCATGGTGGACTGAGGTACAGATGGGACCCCCTGATCCCATCCTGGGGGTCACGGAGGCTTTTAAGCGTGACACCAACCCCAAGAAGATGAACCTTGGAGTTGGAGCTTATAGAGATGATCAGGGGAAGCCATTCGTCCTCAGCAGTGTTCGAAAGGTGTGATATTAAATAGCTTAAAGGGATAACTCGCACAAAAATTAAGCTCTGTCATCATCTACTCGCACTTGACTTGTTCTAAATCATTTTTTTTTTAATTATGTTAAGCACAAAATTTTGAAGAATGTTGGAAACTGGTAACCATGCATAGTAGGAAATCAGTATAGATGTCAATAGTTAGTGTTTTTTTTACATTCTTCAATACACCTGTTAGTGTTGAACAAAAAACATTTTTGGGGTGAGGATCACAGTATTACATTTTTTTTGGGTGAGCTCTTCTTTCAAACACAACTCCATTAAAAGTATGTAAAAATTATATAATTTTGTAAGATTTCCTGGCCACTTTTTAATTGGCTAAAACACTTTTTTTAGCATATAAACATCAATTGTCCCCGCTTACAGTCAGCCAAATAAAGTTTTAATTTAAATCCCTGCACAAAACAAATGACAGATTTTGGTTTTGTTAGGCTGAAGCCCAGATTGCTGCTAAGAAGTTGGATAAAGAGTACCTTCCTATTGGAGGTTTGGCAGACTTTTCAAAGGCCTGTGTTCAGCTGGCTCTTGGACCTGATAACGAGGTCTTGAAGAGCGGCAGAGTAAGTACTTTAAAGCAAAACATTTTTGAAAGGAAGTCTTTTGATTCTTGAAATTCTTATTACTAGATGTGATTATGAATTGTCAGTTCTGTTTGCACACAGAGCATCACTGTCCAGACTATCTCAGGAACTGGATCTCTACGTATTGGAGCTAACTTTGTGGTATGTAATCAACGTTGTTTTCAGTTATAACACAACAGCAGTGGAAGTTAATATCCAATTCCTTTTCTCTGTAAGCATAAAACCTTTTAAGATAGATTCTATATTAGATTTGGGATTTGTAGGCAATGGTTTTTGTGTCTACATAAGTCATTACTAAGACATTTTTTAGTAAGGGCTTACTTAATACAGTCCATTTGTAAAACTTTAACAAAAGCTATGAAAAGTATGAACCAAAACGAAGCAGTATTGAGCTGAATCACAACATCTTTTTGATAAGAAGTATATGAAAATTGGGGGGGAAATGTACAAATACAAGACTGTCCTGACATCCGTTGAATTATTAAATCACAATCAAATTAATAACAGAAAAATATAAAACTATTTGCTTGAAGATGATGATTGTTGTATCTATAGAAATGTTTTTTAGGTATCAAACTGTTTCAATTTCATAATGATAAAAATGAAGAGAAAATAATCTTTTGTCAAAGCTATGCTGCAGCTACTCACTCCCATGAAGCACTGAAGGGTGTAATTCAGTCAGTGTAAAGTTTCTATCTTAGCTTTGGGATTGGTAGGCAATAGTTTTTGTGTTTACTTAAGCCATTACTACAAATTTTTCTTTTAGTAATGGCTTACTTTTGTTTTTTAATTCAGTCCATTTGTAAATATTTTTAACAAAACCAAGGAGCAATGAGCTGAATCATAAAATTGTAATCTTTTTGATTAGAAGTGTATGAAAAAAAATAAATTAAGTACAAGACTGTGTAGTGACATGCAATGAATAATGAAATGACCATCAAATTAATAAGAGAGAAGTGGATTTTGTTTATACACTAATTTTAAGAGGAGCACGTGCTTATGATTGATCACGGCTGGTCCCCGCATTAACTAACGCTTGATTCACCAATCAGACAATTTCCAACTCACTATAAATTACCAGAGTTTCCTACTTCAGTTATCATTACCTTGAAGAATCACACCTCCACCCTTACTCCTACACCTTTCTTTTTTAGGGCAGCAGGGTGGCCCAGTGGTTAGCACTGTTGCCTCACAGCAAGAACTTCACTTGCTCAAGTCCTTAACAGGCCAGTCGTCGCTTCTGTGTGAAGTTTACATGTTCTCCCGGTGCTCGCGTGGGTTTCCTTTCAGGTTTTATAGCAATATATAATCTATCATCAGCCCTAAATAAGAGAGGAGATTCTCGAGACCTACCTGAGCTCAAATTCCCCATCTTATGAGCTCAGAGCTCTTTAATGCATGCCAAATACACTTTATAATCAATCATCAGCTAAGTGTGAGCTCTTGAAATATAAAAGTATTAGCTTGTTGTTGGATCTATAGAAACTTTTTTCACTTTTCAAAATGTTTCAATTTTATAAGGATGAAAATGAAGACAAAATGATCTCTTATCAAAGCTATGCTCCCATGAAAGACTGAAGGATGTAATTCAGTCAGTGTCAAACTACTATCACTACTTATCAGTGTCTTACTTTAAAATATATTTTACAAAGTCATTTATTTGTGTGAAAGCTAAGCTTAATATTCAACAGCTATCACTCCCCACCATCACATCTTTGTCTTTCTTATTATCACAGTTAAAAATGGTTGGTTGTGCTTCTCAATACATTTTAAATTAGATTTTGCAAAAAGTTTGGCCAATGCTATTAAAAAGACGTACTGTCGCCTCTATTGCTATGTCTCACTATTGATTATATGCCGGACACAAATACTAGTCATAATTATGTCTTTTTTATTTTGTCTAGTCACGATTCCACAATGCGTCCCGGGATGTGTACCTGCCTAAACCCTCTTGGGGCAACCACACACCAGTCTTCAGAGATGCAGGCATGCAGCTAAAGGCTTACACCTACTATGAACCCAAAACCTGTGGCTTTAATCTTAAAGGAGCCTTGGATGACATTTCAGTAAGAAAAATGTTCTTAAATGTTCTTAATGTAAACACCATACATCACAAATTAAATCTAATATATTTATTTATTCAATAATAAACTCTTTCAGAAAATCCCTGAGAAGAGTGTAATTCTTCTTCATGCCTGCGCTCATAATCCCACCGGAGTGGACCCCAGGCCTGAGCAGTGGAAAGAGATGGCTGCTCTGATCAAGGTAACTGGTTCTGGCATTAAATTAAAGTCCGAGCTGACCTCAGAAAAGCTACTTAGTGAAGTGGCGGAGAGAGATGCATTATCTTGTCCATGCCTTATCTTTGACCATTTGGACTGATAAAAGAATGGCATGTCTTCAGTCTCAAACCAATGGCTGTTTTTGTGATAATACGATTCTTCTTTCTGGTTTTGACAGAAAAGAAATCTCCTGGTGTTCTTTGACATGGCTTACCAGGGATTTGCCAGTGGCGACATTGATCGTGACGCTTGGGCTGTGCGTTATTTCATTGAGCAGGGCCACAACATTCTACTGTCCCAGTCTTTTGCTAAGAACATGGGCCTGTATGGTGAGCATTAAATAAAAAAAATCATCACTAATCACATTATACTTTTTACATAACAATGACCCCCAACTATAAAAAATTAAAGAGCTGTACTACACTATTTTTATAATAGATTGTGGCTAGGATATACATTTTAGATCAAAAGTTTGAAAAGATTTTCTTTTTATGTTTTTGTCTCTCTCTAAATCTGGATATCTTCCTATAATAAAAGCGGTAATATTGTGGAATACTGTTACAAATGAAAATAACACTTAGTTTTTGCCTCATTTTAGTGTCATTGCACTAGTTTTTGGTTTCATGTGATAATATCTAATATGCTGATTTGCTGCTTAATATACATTCATATTTTACGGTTAAATATTTTTATGGACATACGATTATGTATTTTTTTAGGACTTCAGTAAATTGATTGTTTGATTGCTTTTGTTGGAAATAGCGTCACTTTATATTCAAACATAATGTGTTCTCGATTATTTAAAATTCTGAGAACTCTGACTGACCATAAACTTAAATCCAGATTACTTTTAGATTACTCAAGATCAATCTATTTTTTCCACATTTGTCATCTAAAATTCAGGTGCACTATCCACAAAAAAATTTACATGACATTTTACATAAACATTCTACAGAGACCCTGAAGGAACCCGATGGTCGGGGAAAAAACTGAGTGATAGGAAGATAAACATTTAAGTTTTTGCATTATCTTGCAAATATGTTTTGTGAGGGAACGCAAAGATCTTTTGCATTCCCTCACGAAACGGTTGTTTGACAAACACTTCCTTTTCACTTCATACATGTCAAACTTCCCATCTTGCCGGGATTCTCCCGCATTTTATTATTCTATTCTGCTATCATCCAGTCATTAAGTATTTTCCCATATTTCTCCCATGTTTTTAATCTTAAAAGCACATTGCGATCCGTATTATAAACTGATCCCAGATCAGCTTCTGTATACGCCATTTAAAGAGAAGCTAAAATGCAGGACGCTTTGGGATTCGGTATTGTGTTTAAGCAGGCAAATCCACTTAATAATATGTAAACATGTCTATCCTGCGTGTTTTATTTTAAACACAACTAATTTTGTCTTAAATGAGCATAAACAGTTACTAAAGTATAGAATGCTTTCATTGTAGATCTGTGCATTCTTACAGTGACGCCTCTGTTATCAAACAAAACAAAACAAGATAATTTGCTGCTCTTCACTTGTTTGATAACAGAGGTGTCACTTTAAATATCGTGTACAGAAGCTGATCTGGGATCAATTTATCATGCGGAGTGCGTCCGTCAGTCAGCGCTTATACATGCATTCACTGGTGCATTATAATGGAAAGAAAGTAAATGCAGACATTTTTATATTAATTTCAACGTGCTTTCAAGTTAAAAAATATGGGATAAATATGGGAAAATAGAGAATTATAGGATGATCGCGGGATAGAATGGTAAAATAAGGGAGAACCCTGGGAAAAACTGGAGAGTTGACATGTATGAAGGGAACAGGAAGTGTTTTGCAACGGAATGCAAAAACTTTTAAAACGTATATATATTTTTTCCTATCGCTCAGCTTTTTTTTTCTCCCATCCACTTTTTTCACCCACCCACTTTTTCCCCATCATCACATCCCTTCCGGGTCTCTGTACCATTCCATATTATTAGTACTCATAAAATCAATAAATTATGAATGATATACTGCTATTGCATCAATTTATAATCATTCAATGCTGTCATTTAATGGTGTCTCAGTCAAGTTTTTGTGTCCCGACATTCGATTTAGTTTGATACGGAGTGCCGATATACCACCTTACAATCACATACATACTTTTCTTAATGTTAGGTGCACTTTTAAGTACAATAAGTTCATTGAAATTAACTCATAATTGCAATATTCGTTGCATGCATTCAGTTACTACCCATTAAACAAGAAAAAATCCTACCATTACAAAAGAATTTGGAAAATTAGACAAAATACTAGTTGAGAATATAGTATATTGAATTGCTCTGTACCTTTGTGTCTTGAGGTGAGCGTGTGGGAGGCTTCACAGTGGTTTGTAAGGATGCCGAAGAGGCCAAGCGTGTGGAATCTCAGCTGAAAATCCTCATTCGGCCCATCTACTCCAACCCACCCATGAATGGCGCTCGCATCGCCGCCACTATCCTCAACACACCTGAACTCTACAAAGAATGGTGAGGCCACAGATTAAACCCAGTCACCAAACACAGCCAATGAGTATCAAGCTGTACAGATATAACTGGTTTTATTTTCCCGGTAGGCTTCAGGAGGTAAAAGGCATGGCTGACCGCATCATTAGGATGAGAGAGATGCTCGTTTCCAACCTTAAAAAGGAGGGCTCCACTCACAACTGGCAACATGTCACTGACCAGATCGGGATGTTCTGCTTCACTGGGCTCAAACCGGAACAGGCAAGTCAAATGACAGTGCATTCTGGGAGTTTCTGGTAAGGCCTCAGCTTTTCTCACCAACTTCTCTTCTTGTTGTCAGGTGGAGCGTCTGATTAATGAATTCTCTATATACATGACAAAAGATGGCCGGATTTCTGTGGCCGGAGTGACGTCTGCCAACGTGGAGTATCTTGCACATGCCATCCACGCCGTCACCAAGTGAAGCTAGCATCAAACGTAGTGATGATTTAATGTCTGTCAGGACCAGATAAGACATAGGATGAATGTAGACTTCCAGTTCACTTGATTTGGCATTATTAATGGTAATACATGACTGTGAATATGAGCCCAGCAATAAATTAAGACAGGATGCTTCCTTTCAAAATGATAAAAAACAAGCTTTAAAGGATGTTGCTTATCATTGTTTCCTTTGTCGGAACTGATAAGAAGGTTTTTATGGTCTAAAATGTGCTGCTACATCAAGTAACACAAGTCTAACATGCTTTAAAAATATTTTTGTTTTTCAGATAAACGACTCTAAATTTGAATAATAACTCAGTATGAAATAATAACAATAACCATTTTGAATAATTACCCATATACTCATGTAACTGAAAGGAGTGCACTGACTAATTTCATGTTTTGATGATTGCATCATCTTTGAACGAGACTTTTGAATGAGACTTTGAACCAGTCTCATGTTCATTTCACCTAGAACTTTAGCACTTATTCTAAACATAGTTATTGTGAGTTTGCTACTAGTGGTGGAAGATTGTCCATAGTGTGTGCAATATATTTGTTCTCATGCAGCTTGTCAGGTTTATTTTACTTTTCTGGCTAGAATTTTTCACACACGGATAGTTTCATAAATTGATATAGGCATTTACATTCATTTTGTGTTTTGTTCTGGCCATTTAAAGGGATAGTTCACTCAAAATTTGTCACCCTCAAGACCTAAATGGTTTGTTTTTTTCTACTGAACACAAACGAAGATCCTTTTCAGATTATGAGAAATTGGTAGCCATTGACATCTAAAACATTCAGTAGCTTCTGGTTTCAACATTCTTCTGAATGTCTTGTTGGGTGTTAAAAATGATGACAATTACATTTTTTTTGAGTGAACTATTAATCTCATTCATCATGTGTTAAACATACTGCATGTGAACAAAATCAAATGAAGATTCATTTTAGAATTAAAACCTATTTGAAATTGTAACTGATATATCAGTGGTTAATGATGCTTTAAGAAAAGCTCTCACCTGTGTGAATCTTGATTACATAAACATGCACTTTGTGAGGATAAATAAAACAAAAGTGCTGACGAATATATTTGTATAATTGTATATTGTGTTCCTGTGGTTAATTGTATTTCCCTCAAGATTTCTCCAAAATGATGAAGTGTCATGAGTGGTGCTCTATGAATCCTATTTAAATGAATAAAAGTGAGCTCAACAAAAACCTACATATTTTATTTAATTTTTTTATTTTGTATTTTTTTACATTCAATCAGTCATATTGTCGTATTTCATAAAACACTTTTTTTTGCTTGACCTGACAATACATGAACATCAGAACAATGTCCAAGGGATCATACACATATTTTATAAAGGTCAGTAATATAAAGTCATAAGAAAAACTATAATCACATACGTATACAAATAACATATCATTAGACAGAAAGGGAAAATTATAATAATTATAGTATTAATAATAAAAACATAATAATAATATAATTACTAAATTAAATGAATGAAATTGCAATGGCACTTAAGTAACCATCAGGAAAGCAATTAAAATTAAAATCGAGGATCTTTAATAAATCCATCTGTATATTATTTCAGGAATCTAAGGGTTTTTATTCTTAATAAGATGAAGTGATTTTAGGAGAGAGCTAAATTCTTTTCTAAAATAAGCAATGGATGGGTAATTATTTGCAAATTTCTGTTTGTGAATGAAAATCTTGCTATATATATATATATATATATATATATATATATATATATATATATATATATATATATATATATATAAATTAAAAAGTATAATGTGTTCTAGGGGGTTATCTTTTGGGTTATTATAATAAAAAAGCATGTCTTTTGACTAAAGCAATTCACAGCATTGGCAGACTCAAATATATGAGAACCTAGGGTGACCAATATTGCTTGAAAATTGGACAATCAAAAAACATACTAATGTCTCCTCTGCCTGTTTGTTGAATGAACAGGAGCTGTCGATGTCCAAAAATTTTTAAATACTAGAATTTACCCGATACATTTTATGTTTAATTTTAAAATGTATTACTTTGGCCTTGTTGGAAATGCAATGTTTCCCAGGTAAAAGCCAGGTTCTGTTCCAGTCTATATCCTCAACCAGGGGCCTCCAGTAAAACTTTCCTCTGGAATAAATTTTCCTTTTCAACTGAAAAATTTGACGCACAAACCTATAGTTACATTTTTATCTAGCAGTCATAAAATCCTAAATAAATCAACAGACTGACGCAACGTGACGCAAAAGAGACGCCAGATTCGCGTCACGTGACTGTAGACGACAGCGCCATCAAGCGGTCACATTTATATAATCTCGTTTACGGCATTAAAACTTAACTCGTGTTCTCGAATAAAGTGTCAAAATGATTAATGCGTTTCAAAACTGCTCAAACTTAATGATCACCGGTGCCAGTCGAGGCCTCGGGCTGCAGATAGTTAAAAGTCTGGTAACGGGAGGCTTCTCTCCCGGGAAGATTATCGCCACTGCGCGGAATCCAAATAGAGCCAAGGTAAAGCTCAGAGCAGACAGTGTAGTATTTACATTAGGTCTGCTGTACAAATAGTACAAAAGCCCCAGATCCTTTACAGTCATCTAAGCTAAAAGAGAGTGTGCACAAGCGTAGCAGATATATGTACGATCAATATATCTAATTTCGTCATACAGTCGTCATATGAGTGCTAAAAGTACTTTATTTTACATTCCTGTTACATGTGTAAATATCTTGCTGCATTACTTAAGATAACTGGATAATAACAGAAATCCTGGTGGCAATACTGTACAGGCAATACAAAATTAATACCCGTGGCTCCTGATGATAATCAAGGTCTGTGGGTGGCGACTGATCTGTCCAAAAAAAGGGTTTGGCCTTTTTTAAATATCATCTAATTATTTAGGAAACAATATAACTATTTTTAATAATTTAATAGAAGGCCTATAAAAAGCATGTGTACTAATTATAAAATAGAAATGACTACTTTAAAAATGTTTAAAATAACTCCTTGCTTTATAGGAACTACAAAGGTTGGCGGAAGAGTACCAAAACATACACATTATTAAACTGGGTAAGTACAATACATACTTTTTATAGTCTACAACTGTAGTTCCAGGCTGGGTTTGCTTCATGACCTAGATTTTGTATTGGGCGTTAGGTGGCGCCCTAACACAACACATACACTCACACTTACTCAATTTTTCAGTCATTGACTTACACAAAATGTTTCAGTGAATGAATCTTTTAATATCACCATGCAATACCATGAAATTGACCGTTTTATAAACTCATAAAAGCAGCAGTTAAGTCTTCAGCTTGATTTGTTGGAAAGTGTTGGAATTTATGAACGGCTTGGTGGATGATGATATTCTACCACCTGCATATTATTATTTTGCTTTCTATTTTTTCATCATAATTTTTTTATCAGTATACATTTATGTATTATCTTGTTTTTTTTGTTATTTTAGTAGATAATGTTATTATATTATAACTGTATTATATAATTATAAGTATTAATAACAACAGTTTCAGTTGTATGGTTTTAAGTATAGTTATTCATATCAAACCTGATGGTGATGGATTCTGTCACAATCATCAGCGATCTAATCATTTCAGATCGCTGGTAAAATCACAGATCACATACAACTTCAAATCTGCCAGTATTCGGACTACAAGATCCAGTCACACGCGCACACACACCTGCTCCAAGACTCCATTGATTAGACTCACAGCTGAAGCTGCTCATGGACTGATTCTACCTTTGCTTTGTTTGTTTAAGTTGCTTGCTTCCTGCTGTAATGATCATTCACCTGCTTATTGACCACGACTCTGGATTGCCTGTATAGATGTTTGCTCCTGATTGGGACCATTGCTTGACTGACCATCCTGCTAATAAACCTGCGTTTAGATCTGCACTCCTATGTCCAGCATCCTAATCACATTACAGACCCCATGACCAAAGAGAGAGATTTTTTCAACACATTTCTAAACATAATAGTTTTAATAACTCATCTCTAATAACTGAATTATTTTATCTTTGCCATGATGATAGTAAATAATATTTTACTACATATTAATGAAGACATTTCTATAAAGCTTAAAGTGACATTTAAAGACTTGACTAGGTTAACTCGGCAGGTTAGGGTAATGTGGCAAGTCGTTGAATGACAATGGTTTGTTCTGTAGATGATCAGAAAAAATAGCTTAAAGGGGCTAATAGTTTCTTCCTTAAAAGGGTGTTTAAAAATTTAAACTGCTTTTATTCTAGCCAAAATAAAACAAATAAGACTTTCTCCGGAGGAAAAAAATATTATCAGACACTGTGAATATATGGATAGTTTGACCAGATAGTTTGAACAGCTCTTTTTAGAATGTATTCATTAATTTAAGAGTGAGTCATTCATAAAATTTTAGAACTTAAAGATAAAGTGAAATATAGTCTTCTAAGGTTTTCTGGAAGGTCTAATAGTATTCAAGTGATGAAATTTAAAAATCAAATGTAAATTAACACTACAGTCTTCCAATACAATACATCCTTTCTAGTTGCAAATGGCACAATTTCTTGTGCCTGAATGAATGCAGTCATATGCCTTAAAAGCACATGCAAAAGATAAACTTTCAGTCCATTATATTCAAACTCTACAGTGACTTCACATATCTCACGTGTTCTAATGTGCTCTTGGTCAAATATAATGCCAACATTGCATATTCTGCGATGTAACTATTGCAGCTCTACTCTCTGCTTTTAGATGTTATCAGTCAGGAGAGTATAGAAAGAGCTGCAGCTGAGGTGGAAGAGCTAGTTCAAGAGGAGGGTCTCAACTGCCTCATCAACAATGCTGGAATCAATGTTGTGGCAAACCTAGAGACTGTGACCGCAGACCAGATGCTGGAAAACTTCCACACCAACTCTGTTGCCCCTTTGATGATCACCAAGGTTTCGTTTCTCTGCACAATATAAGCACATATCTTCTGCTGTCATCACGAACGTCTGAAACCACACTAACTGAACTTGTAATGCAGGCCATGCTTCCTCTGCTGAAGCGAGCAGCTGCAAAGGGGACAGGGATGGGGATCCACAGAGCGGCAGTCATCAATGTAACATCCCTGCTGGGTTCAGTTGAGCTCTACTGGGGTGATCGTGCCAGCACTTTCAAATGGTACCCTTACAGAACTTCGAAGGTTTGTGAGATTGTGTTTGTGGAGTTCAACAATGTTGACCAGTATCATGTGAATTTTGTTGATCATCTCCTAACAAGGCCACAGTGAAAGGTCTGGATAATTAGATAAGAACAGTCTATATCAGTATAAATTTCAGGTCATTATCAGTGTGTTAAAGGCAAAGGAAATAGGTATGAATAAACATCTGGGTGATTTTTCAGGTTTCGTGGTGTCCACTGTTGTAATAAGGGTATGTGACAACAAGGGTAGGGTCCAAATGCAGCTTCTATTTAGCAAAGTCAGGCAGGTAAGGTTAGAACAGGAGCAAACAGAAGCATAAAGGTAATCCAAAAGAGTTATTGTAAAAACAGGCTAAGAGAAATATAAACATTCAACAAACAATGGTCAAAACACAGCAAGACAACAAAGAAAAATGCTATGTGAAGCTGTGGTCACACTGAACTTTTCTCTTCGTAGACTTACATTCATTCGCACGCGAATGTGGCAGACCGAAAACCCAAGCTCATCTTGTTTAATCACGTTGTCTAATCATCTTGTTTAATCCCTCCCCCTTTCACAGCGATATATGACAGAATTGCGCATGCTCAAACTCTAGTGTGACCACAGCTTAATGCTCACAGATAGCTAGACTCAGACTGGATGTCTGTGTGTGTAATCAAGAGGTGACCAGAGTAGGGTCGCATCAGTTGATCGGAAGTTCTTTCTTAAACTGGAACGTAAAGTCCACACTAGGGGCTTAGTAACAACTAGCTAGTTTGTAACTATATTTGTTCTCACTTTGGTTGCACCACATGTTCTTAGGGCAAACCATATTTAGTAGGTCGTAAGCTCTCCGTTAAGTCATGCTTAGTCACATTGAATGACGTAATATCCAATAAAAAACATTTAAATCGTTAAACTGCATTAAATTCTGCAACTAATGCATATATGTATAACTGTCTTATGAAAATTTCATTACAAATGACATTTTTATAGCACTTTAAATGAGTCAGTTACTAATAACAGACGACGCACACACTTGCATCGCAAGCCTTGAACGCACGGAAAATTGAATGCACACAAAGTTATCAAAACATTAAACTTGAATTTCTTTATACCCTACTAATGAAAGAGAAAAGAGCATGAAGAAAAACTCAGTTATGAAGAAATTCTCATTTTAACTGATGAATACAATTAACAAAACACTGCTTGAAAGAAAATGAGAAATTATGGCTGTGAGTAGATCGCAAGGTCCTCAAAGTAAACTAATCTCGCTATCATCTCTTTTCTACCGTTATATGGGGAGGCTGCGGTAAATATTTAGTTACAACTTAGCATTACATTTAAACAAAAAGTTCAGTGGTGCAACACAAAAATATTTTGTAATGTGTGCAACTTGGTATACCTTTAAGTCACAACTAGGCTACGTTTTAACTTACGCAATGCTGGTGCAACCGGCCCCTGAAACCGGTGTGTAACTACGGGGCATAATGGAATATGTAGTTCGGGTGAATGACAGGTAGTGTTCTCCAGCGATCCACAAGGGCTACATCGCTGGTGATCATGACCATTCATCTGTGAATTTGCACTGTTTTGCAAGCACAATAGTTCATCTCATCTGCATATACTTTAAATTTAAATTTATGCAAATTAAAATTAGGACGAAAATGTCTTTTAAATGCATTTCTTTGTTGAAACATTTTGTTTACATCTTGAAACAGATACAACTGTACAGTGGAGATCAAATTAAGAGAATAGTTTGTAAACACGTTTGTTGAAGAAAGAAAAATTTGAAGAACGAAATATTAGTTGTGGCTATATCATGATATTAGTAGTGTCCTGTCCACTTGTGCATTTGCTTTTTGTGGATGACCAGCCTTTTTGGGGGACCTAAAGGGATAATTCATCCAAAAATGAAAATTTTCTCACTATTTCATTTAACCTGGTATGGTTTGAAACCTTTTGAGTTTTTTTATTCTGTTAGAACACTAAACATGATACTTTGAAAAAAGTTGAATACCAGTAACCATTAACATCTATAGTTGGAAAAACAAATACTAAAAAAATCAATGGTTACCAGTTTCAGATTTTTTCCAAAATAATTTTATTTTGTGTTAAACAGAAGAAAATCAAACTGGTTTGGAACCAGTGAAGGGTGCGTAAATAGTGACAAAATGTTCAGTTTTGAGTGAACTATCCTATAGTCAGTGATATTAATATGCCAATTTCTAGAAATCATAGATTTTAAATTACCAACTATTTTTGCTGTGACCGAAACTTCATCTGAACAACCTGTTTTTGGAGGTTTTCAGTCACTTTAGAAGGGCTCAACATCTTGTAATGTCAGTAAAGACTGGAAAGTTTGGTAGCCAGTTAAATTGGGTTTGTCAGATAATTAAGGAAATAACTATCAGATTACAGATGGACACCAGTACCTAAGAGGAATCTGATGGTGTTCCTTAATTTTGGTCAGTGTTCTTTAAAATGTAAAATTTTTTATACTATTTATGCTTCTGAAGTCAGAGTACAACTCTTAAAATATGCATCTTGAATTCTGCACTGTACATCTGAGAGCATATCGGCTAATATATGGAGTTTGATTTGACTTGTATCAGAGCGCACTGAACATGGTCACCAGATGCTTGGCAGTGGATCTCGAGGCAGATGGCATCCTGTGTATGGCTCTGCATCCAGGCTGGGTGCGCACTGATATGGGTGGACCTGAAGTGAGTCTCTTTCTGTTATCTCTTACTTGCCAGTGCTGTCTGTTGTTGTGCTAATCAAACTTAACAACTTTTCAAAACTACAGTAGTGATAAACGCTTTTGGTGTGTTTTTGTCTATACAGGCACCATTGAGCCCTGAAGAAAGCATTTCCTCTGTGTTGTCTGTGATTGGTGGATTAACCGAAAAGGATCATGGGTCATTTCTACATTATACTGGGGAAACACTTCCCTGGTGAAGCTGTCGATTTTTGTAAATTGCAGCGATAGACGATTTCCAATTGTTTTGCTTTATACATGTTTACTTGTTTATTAATATACATTTTTGTTCAGGTTATATTTATTTTATTTGCTGTAAAATGTTACTCACTGATATTCAGGGTGTGAATGTGATCCGAGTGGATCATGATTGAATAACTTCAATTTTGGTGTTAAAAAAAGCTTTGAAATTATCTATTTACTGGTATAATATGAAAGTAGTTTTTCCACTTATTTGTCTTTAAATGCAAAACCAAAGAAACTATTCTGTTAGATTTTATTTGTATTAATAGTCACAAGCTGTCTCAAAAATAAAGTACTTATTTTTTTCATAGTTTTGTAACGCTTAAAGTGCAAGCTTTTCGAATTAAAGGTTGTATTGAGGTTAAATGTGTTTTCTTTCTGATCATTTATTGTTAAAATTTATTATATCCTAAACCATTTTGAATGTTATATTCATTATGTAACTGATAAAAGTCATCACCTTTTCAAGTTTTAGGAACAACAAATAACTTGACTTGTAGTTGATCATTTGGTGTTAGAAGTGGCTTATATGAAAGACAAAGGTCTCAAATCATGCCTATTTTACCAAAATAAAATATGATCATGACTTGATTTAATTATCAAATTAGGACAGTGAGGTCTGACTTTGCTTGGACAAAGGTCTTGTTACTTAACAGAAATAATGTACAGTATAGAATATAAAGTCATGGTGCAGTGGGAATATAATTAATATTGTGTATGACTCCCATGAGCTTGGATGACAGCATCCATACATCTTTGCAATGACTCACATAACTTATTAATAAAGTCATCTGGAATGGCAAAGAAAGCATTCTTGCAGGACTCCCAGTGTTCATCAAGATTCTTTGGATTCATCTTCAATACCTCCTCCATCATCTTCCGCCTACATGCTCAATAATGTTCATTCTGGTGACTGGGCTGGCCAATCCTGGAGCACCTTGACCTTCTTTGCTTTCAGGAACTTCGAAGTTGAAGCTGAAGTATGAGAAGAAGCGCTATCCTGCTAAAGAATTAGCCTTTTCCTGTAGTTTTGAGCAGCACAAATGTCTTGATACCTTAGGCTGTTGATGTTGCCATCCACTCTGCAGATCTCTCACATGCCCCCATACTCAATGTAACCAAAACCATGATTTTTCCTTCACCAAACTTGACTGATTTCTATGAGAATCTTGGGCTCATGCTGGTTCCAACAGGTCTTCTGCAGTATTTGTAATGATTGGGATGCAGTTAAACAGATGATTCATCTGAAAAACAAAATCAACCTTCTGCCACTTTTCCAAATGATCCAACTAGAAGTTATTATTTGTTGCTCTTACAACTGGGATCAATGGCAAGACTTTTGTTTGGTAGTGTATGTCTCATTTTTATTATTATATTTCTCATTGCATAGTGCAGTTGTGTCAGTTGCACTATTATAAATTATTCCATCATAAGAAATAAACTAATTATCTACAGTTTTTCAATAAAACAGTTCATGACATTCCTATGCATATAATTTTTTAAAGAGGAAAATGAAGGTTCTCCCATCTCCCATACTGACACTCAAACTTTTTTTCATGAGCAAATATCTAATCTTTCAAGCTCTGGCTATTTGGCTACAAGTCAGTGATACACTGGACATTCGATTTGCATAGTGGAGTAGTAAAAAGACAACAGTTCTACATATGCCATTGAAACACATCTTGTATTAGTTAAAGGTTCCTGAAGGCAGTGAAGATCAAGCATGTTTAATAAGAGCTGAATGAACAAGTGATCCAACAGGTTTGCCATTTGTGTTTGCTGATCATTTGTCAGGTGATCACTGTCAACTATGTAGGAATATGGATATGCTCCCGTCATAGTTTATTTACAAAATGGAACTAAAGGTGGAAAACTAAAGCTTGAAAAGGTAGGGCTTTCAACTTAGTTTTTTTAATTGTGATTTCCTTTTTAAAATTGATGTTTATTAAAGCCTTAAGCAACAAAGATATGTCTTTATTGGAAAGTGTCGTAACTAGTTCTCAAGATACTAAATGTAGTGTGTTTTTAAAAATTATGCAACGTACATTTTACATAGTATACATTTATTCAGATTTTCTGTACATATGAATAACGGATATCAGGAATACCTTTATGTCATTCATTTCCAGGGTTGTACATGGCAGAACGACAATATGGTGTTTATGGCTTTGAGTTTTCGACTGCTATTCTCTGAGCAAGTTGAGTATAGTATCTTGGCCATATCAGCTGTGGTTTTCCTTGCAGCCCTTGGCTTTTTGATATGGCAAATTTACCGCTACTGTACACAGTTTCGCGTTTTGCAAAGAGCTGGTAAGTTTTCTTGCAAAATAACTGACTGATTAGTATATATTACTATGAACAGCTGCTGTTTAAAATAAACCTTCTAAAATATGTGCCTTAAATATGCAGTATTGTATAGGAAGTTTGATATTATTTATGATATCCCTAACAATTAAATGTCAGTAAAAGGGTTTTATTGTTTTGGAAAGCAATTCAAATTTGAAATAAAAAAGGATAATAAGTAATCAAATGTACATTTAAATTATTTATAATGTATAATCATATTAATAATATTATTTGTAAATAATATTTTTAATATTCCTCTTAACTTTCTATTTAAAGAATTTTAAAAAATGATAATGATAATAAACATGTTTCTTTTAGAACCAAAACGGCATATTAAAAAGTTTTCTGAATAATCATGTGACACTAAAGTTTGCAGTAAAGATGCTGACAATTAATTTACATGTTTATTTAATTAAATAACTTCCTTTTCAATGTTATATGTATTAAACAATGAGATTGTTTAGCAGCAAAACTAATAGGGTTTATGCAAAATACCTATCAAGATCTATTTGATTCCTGTGAATGTTTTATTAACAGATGGCCAGCCAGCTAAAAGAGGAGGTTTTCAGAATGGTAAACAAGCTATGGTAAGAATAATTTGCATAAGCCATCATAATCGTCATTACCTGGAATGCACCTAATATGTGCTGTGTTTACTTCCGTATTTACTGCTTGCTCTAACCAAGATCAAACAACATAGATGAAAAACACGTTTCACAGATGGTTAGCTTAGGTTGCCAAACAGTATGTCTGTATTTCAAAGCATCCAATAAAAGAAAAATGACACCTGATGCACTCTCTGCCCATTAGAATAAGGTTCAATATGAGGAACTGAGCCACAGACTGTCGCCCGGCTCATCCTGCACTAACCTGGGCAGCAATTTAGACCTGGCAAGCTTGGAGGATCTGGAGGAGGAGCACATCCAGGGATCTCTGCGATTTTCACTGTTCTACGATCAGCTGCAGTCCAAAATGGTGGTGACAGTACTGGATGCCCAGGATCTGGCCGTACGAGACTTCAGTCACAGTGTGGACCCTTTTGTCTGGGTGCGTTTAATGTGGGCAGAGAGAGAAGATAAAGAGAAGAACTCAATGCGGTGTTTGCTGCACGAATGGCAGACGCGTATTGTTAAAAACAGCTGCTGTCCTGTGTTTGGAGATCAGTTCTCTTGCATTTTAGCTGAGGATGAAGTATCAAGGGTCACTGTTAGATTTGAGGTATGTGACATGGCTTTTTAGCAAGCATATGTATATAAAGAATTCTGCTTTTTATAAATATTATTAATCTTTTTCAGGTTAGGGATTTTGATAAATACTCAAGACATGGAGTTCTGGGAGAGGCCCGTGCTTCTCTGAACACATTGAAGATCTCTTATCCTCTGGAGTTAAGACAAGATCTGCAAGTACCCAGAAAAGTGAGTTTTATCCCAGTGTAGGACATTTAAAAATGATGAGATGATAAGCAGTATACGGTACATATTCTGTGCAGGATATAGTTGGCGAGGCCCTTCTCTCTCTTAAATACATGCCTACATCTCAGAGGCTGGAAGTGGGAGTGTTGAAGATCCACACAGTCTGCTATCATAATAAGACTGAAAGAGGTGAGGGATATTACAAATACAGTGCGCTTTTTCCACATTTTTTATGGTACAGCCTTGATTCAAAATGAACTCATTTTATTTATTTCCTCAAAAATCTACACACAATACCCCATAATGTCAATGTGATTTTTTTTTAATTGTTGCAAATTTATTAAAAACAAAACCCCTGAAAAATTACATGTCTGTCAGTATTCACATCCTTTGCATGAGGCTCTAAATTGAGCTCAGGTACATGCTGTTTCCACTGATCATTCTTGAGCTGTTTCAGCAGCTTAACTGGAGTTCACCTGTGGTAAATTTAGTTGATTGGACATGGTTTGAAAAGGCATACACCTGTCTAGATAAGGTCCCAGGGTTGACAGTGCATGTCAAAGCACAAACCAAGCATGAAGACAAAGGAATTGTCTGTTGATCTCCAAGACAGTATTGTCTTGAGGCACAAGGCTTAGAAAGGTTACAGAAAAATTTCTGCAAATTAAGCACAGTGGTCTCCATCATCAATAAGTGGAAAATTTTTGGTGTAGTAAAGTTTATTGTTTTGTGGGAAGAAGAAGACAGGGTCGGCGATATAAGGTAAGTAAGTTCTTTTTATTTTTATAAATGCACAACACGCACAAAGCTGTGTGTGTGTGCTCTCCTCTCTCCTGGCTGCTCCTTCTGTTCTTCTTAAGAAGAGTGTCTCTCCGGCCCAATCACTAATAAACTCGTGTTATTTATTATTTCTGATTGGCCTGCTGATTAGCCGCCGAGCTCTGACCATGCTCTCCACCCTCATGGGGTGTTCAATCATGCTTACCTCTACCACATTTGGAATCACCAGAACTCTTCCTAGAGCTGGCCGGCCATCTAAGCTGAGTGATTAGGGGAGAAAGGCCTTAGTCAAGGAGGTGATCAATAACCCGATGGTCACTCTGTCTGAGCTACAGTGTTCTTCTGTGGAGAAAGTAGAGCCTTATAGAAGAACAACCATCTGTGCAGCAGTCCACCAATCAGGCCTGTCTGGTAGAGTGGACAGATGGAAGCCACTCCCCAGCTGGAATTTGCCAAAAGGCATCTGAAGGAATCACAGACCATAAGAAACAAAATTCCCTGGTCTGATGAGGCTAAAATTGAACACTTTGGAGTGAATGCCAGGCGTTACATTTGGAGAAAAGCAGGCACCACTCATCACCAGGCTAATAGCATCCCTACAGTTAAGCATGGTGGTGGCAGCATCATGATGTGGGGATGTTTTTCAGCAGCAGAAACTGGAAAACTAGTCAGGATAGAGGGAAACATGTATGCAGCAATGTACAGAGACATCCTGAATGAAAACCTGTTTCAGAGTGCTCTTGACCTCAGACTGGGGCGACGGATTATCTACCAGCAGGAACATGATCCAAAGCACACCGCCAAAATATCAATGGAGTGGCTTCATAACAACTCGATGAATGTCCTTGAGTTGCCCAGCCAGAGCCCAGACCTAAATCCTATTGAACATCTTTGGAGAGATCTGAAACTGGCTGTACACTGTTGCTTCCCATCCAACATGATAGAGCTTGAGAGGTACTGCAAAGAGGAATGGGTAAAAAATCCCAGACAGGTGTGCTAAGTTTGTGGCATCATATTTAAAATTATTTGAGGCTGTAATTGCTGCCAAAGGTGCATCAACAAAGTATTGAGCAAAGGCTGTGAATACTTATTTACGTGTGATTTTTCAGGGTTTTTATTTTTAATAAATTTGTAACGATTTAAAAAAATCTTTTGTCACATTGTCATTGTGGAGTATTGTGTGTAGAATTATAAGGAAACAAATTAATTTAATCCATTTTGGAATTAGGCTGAATAAATGTGGAAAAAAGTAAAGCCATAATTTGCTTCTCTCCCAATGACAGTTGGGTTTAGGGGTGGGGTTAGGTGCCACGCATCCTCATCAAAATCGTACATTTTCGTATGACTTAACTTGAACGAATTAGCCACTGAACTGACGAAATGTAAAATAGTTTAGTTTACTCATGAGATCAGGCTGTGCTAACCACAAAATAACATGATTTTGCAATACCAACTATAGTTTACTGCTTTTTGTTGTTAAACTTTGGTTATCCAAATAGTATTCACACTGAAAACATGGTTACTACACTTTTACTAATTAAACCATGGCTAACACTCGTAACATTACACAGTGGATAGCGAGACTCACAAGAAAATAACTCACAGTCTCCACCTACTGGTGTAACTTTGTATCTTCATAAAGCCTATTTACTTTCACATTCTATTTAACATTAACTGACTTTACTAAATGCTCCAAAATATATATTTAAAAGTTGTTTGAAATTACAGTAAGGTGTTTGTTCAATGTACTCACAGCTCTCTACGCCAGAACTATTGTGACCTGCAACCAGAGCAGACTTCGCCATCAGAGGACAACTCAGAAGAAACGCAGGGAGGTCACTGTGTTTAATGAGGTGATGACCTTTGTGTTGCCAGATCAACAAATTAAAGAGTGCTCCATAGAGGTGTCTGTTTACGAGATTCAGCCTTCAAAGAAGTCCTCCAAGAACCTGATTGGCCACATCCAAGTAAAAAAGAACAAAACAGGTGAAAATGAGCACTGGAAGCAGATGATGCAATCATTAAGGCAACCAGTGGCAAATTGGCATTTAATCTACATCTGATGTACCTTATTGACGCTTTCCATTTCCCGAGGTGGAAGGTCGTACTTCCGACTTTTGTTTGCGTTTTCAGGTTGGTTGGACTGAGGAAACAACATATCAAGAATAAATGGTGCTGAGCTTTTTTTGTTTTTGTTTTTTTTTTTGTATGCAAGTTTTAACAGCTCTTGGTTTCCTGGACTCAAAAGATCTCACGTACACTCTCTAATATTTATTTTTAACAACAAATATTACAGAGATGAAACATGTATATTTGTAACACGATAATGACAACGATGATGATTGCAATTAAACCACATCATAATAATGAATTGTGCTTGATATTACAGTATATTCTGTGGTGGAAATGACAAGTTATAAAAAATAAATTTGCAATAGTGATAGCGTCTTGCAAAGGTTTTAAAACTGACAGTTCATGCATGTAAAAATGTATACTTTCACTATGTGCTGGCTAATTTAACTAAATAAAAAAACTGCTTGTTTGGAACAAGATGCACAGTAATAACAAAATATTTTATTAAATTATATTATTATACCATTATAAAGTTCACAATTTTAAGTACCAATAAAATCCAAGTCTTTCAATTTTCATGAGTCATATGCAAAACTACATCAACATTGTCTCTCTAGTTATTTTATATATTTTCAGTGTCTGTATTATTATCTGTGAGTCAATCTATTTTTAATCATTCATACACACACACACACACACACACACACACACACATGCCTACTGAAAAAAAAAAAAAAAAAAAACTTAAACCAGCCTAGGCTGGTTTGCCATTTCCAGGCTGGTTTTCAGCCATTTCCAGCCTGGTCTTAGCTGGTCAGGCTGGAAGATGACCAGCTAAAACCAGCTTGACCAGCCTAGCCAGGCTGGGAGCCCATCCTAAACCATCTATGTCCAGCTTAAACCGGGCTGGTCAAGCTGGTTTCAGCTGGTTTTAGCTGGTCATTTTCCAGCCTGACCAGCTAAGACTAGGCTGGAAACCAGCCTGGAAGTGGCCAAAACCCCTCTAAAACCAGGCTGGTCAACTAGCAAAAACCAGCCAACCAGCTTAGGCTGGTTTAAGCAGTTTTTTTCAGTATGGTTAATCAGCATTTTATAACCATTTAAAACATTTTAACATGGTTATTTACTTGTATTATATAGCTAGGCCTATAATTTTCGTGAGGGTGTTGTTGTTTGCAAAGTTAACGTTACCAACAGTACCCACAAGATGGCTCTCTAAACCCGTAATACTAACAAAGCTTATGTTTTTTACGTCGGTCCTTTGATTAAGCCATAGGCCTACAGCTGCACAGAAGTCGTCGTTGTTTTAGGTTAAGTTCGTTTAAAATCATTACCATCCTAACACAGAATTCACACTCCAAACCAAGAGACTTGGGTTATTGTGAGATAGATTTTTGACAGCAAACTCTCACTATTTTAGACTGAACATTTCTTTCCTCTCACCTGTAATCTGCATCTCGTGTCTGTAATGAAAAACTTCTCACATGATTTGTGCTGCAGAAGTTGCAAATCACACATCATCTGTTCCAGCCCACTGAACTGTTTCACGGCTAAAACTGCACAGCCAGACTCAGTCAGCATTGAGGCAGCATGATTAGCATGATGCTAGAATAGCAATGTCTGGAAGAAGAGCCACGCTGCCATTCAAAAACATAAGCGTGTCAAGTTATTTAGTTGTGGCCTGCCTCCAGTTTGTTTGTATGAAGTTACAGGACCAGTCATGAAGACTGCTACAGAATTAAAGCAAACATCACGATTTTTGACTCATAATGAGCTGGCCTGAACAGATGTCACAGCACCTCTGTCCTCAAGGCCATTCCCAGACATTACATCTCCCTCTCTCATAGCTCTCTCTTCAAGACTGTTTGCAAAACTGTTCCTCCCACAGCCTGTTAATGAAAGTCACGATGGGATTTGGGGGGAAAGGGTGAGCATGAGAAATCTGGGGCCTTGAAGGGTGGAATACATTCCGCCTTTCTCATCTTTATGTTAAAATCACAAAGACGGACAGTAGGGATATATTAGAGATAGAACTTTGATGTTTTTAAGTTTGTGTGTATAGCAGCCTCTTAATTTTAAAATAATTATTTGTTATTGATTGAAATTAAAGGAATTGTTCCCACCTAAATTAATATGCATAGCTATTTAAAGTTTTCTCAGATATTGTAAAGTGTTAATTTCTCACATTTTAATAGTGGGGTCATTCCTACTATTCGGTGCTATTTGCGTCCCCAAGGCATTATGATACAGAACATTTAAAAATGCAATTCAAAAATTCCTTAAAGCTTGTCTGGTAGGATTATCCCATTTCCACAATAGAACACAATAATAAGACCTAAAAATTAAATTAAATTTAAAATATTTACTTTGATTTCATTGCAATGAGCTGAATTGCCATGTCCCAGCCTCCCAGGTCATGTACGCTTATGGTCAGTTACAAATATAGGCTAACTTCGAAAAGTCTAATAAATGCTAGACTTTTCATGTATTTTGTATTGTCATATATATAAAACATCTCACCAAATAATATTTTTTGAATAATTAAAATATATTAAAAATAATATTTTTAAATAAATGTGTGTCTTTGTGAAATGAATGTCCCCCCTGTTACTTTAATTGTAATTGCCATAAAATGATCACAGATTGCTCCTCTAGTCACATGATTCTCAGGAATTCTCACTATCTTTTCAAGAGTTCACACTTAGCTGAAGATTGATTATAAAGCTTGTTTGGCATGCTGTCTCGGGAGAGAGCCCTGAGCTCAGATCCTCGAGCTTTGGGGCTCCCTCCCATTTGCAGGGCGAGAGAGGAGTTTTAGCTCAGGTAGATCTTGAGAACTCTCCTGTTGTAGTAGCTAATGAACAGATAGTGGTTGCTGTTAAGAGATAACTACTTACTAGGAGCACGGTGGCGATTTGGATTAGTCAATTAACTTAAGTTGCATGTTTTTGGACGATGGGAGGAAACCGGGGAACCCGGGGGAAACCCACGTGAGCATGGGGAGAACTATGGGTAGTTATAGTGTCTTAGGAATCGTCTGATTGATGAGTCATAAATTGAATAATGCAGGGCCAGCTACAAGCAACCATAAGCAGTTGATCCTCTCGAAATTAGTTCATAAATAAACTTCACTTATTTTCAACACACAACATTTCAGAGTAGGTTTCTGTTGTGGTAAAGCATAACACGTTCACCCTGTTACCCATTTTACAGGGGAAACAATATACTTTTTTGTAATTTTGAAAAATACAGTTATTAAACATGTTTCAAATCATTCTTAGGTCATCATGTGCTTGCCTGATGTTCACCATATAAGTAATGCCTGGGTTTTGCAAAAAATTTCACTCCTGTTACTGTCCACCCTGTTACTGTTTTTATTAAATATTGCACTGCATCTATGGTATTGCTATTTATTATTATAAAGTAATTTTAGCATTAATTATTCAAGGATTATTTGATAAAACTAATATATTTTAATGGTTGAAATTAAATGAATAGCCCCCTCCAAAATTAATATGCAGACATTATTAAAGTGTTCTCATATATTGAAAAAAGATAATTTCTCACATTTTAATCATAAGCACTAAATTAGAAAACTGGAGTGACTTCCATTACAGGAATAAATCTTCATTTTAAAATTCTAATTATTTTAAATGTTATTATTAACAGTATTTTTTAAAATTGTTTGACTGTAATAATCAAATTAATGCACAACACTTATTTTAAAAACACTTCAAATGGTCATGTACATTAGATACTAAATTAAATTAAATCGTTCAGCTCTGCTAAACAATAAACATTTATTTATTTAAGCTCTCCATGAAAAAGGCATACAATTGGCTAATATAACTATTCAACTCCAGCCACAGGAACCACCTAGAAAAGTATTAACTTTTAAGTATTAACCGGCTGGGTCAGTTGATATTTCTGTGTGGAGTTTACATGTTCTTCTCATGTTGGCGTGGGTTTCCTCCGGGTGCTCTGGTTTTATCCACAGTCCAAAGACAGGTGAATTGTATAGGTGAACTGAATAAATTGACTGTAGTGTATGTGTGTGAATAAGTGTGTATGTTTCCCAGTACTGGGTTGCAGCTGGAAGGGCATCCGCTGCGTAAAACATATGCTTGATAAGTTGCTGTGGCGACCCCAGATAAGTAAAGGGACTAAGCTGAAGGAAAATGGATGAATAAATGAAAGCTAACAAACACATATTTACATTTATTTTAACTTCTTTGATTATCACAGCTCCATCGCAATTAAATATTCTTCCCACTATATTTAGACATTAAAATTAGATTATTGTAGCCATAGTGACTTTTCAGACATTGTTTAACAGTTTAATTCAGTTATTGACAGTCTAACTGAAATTGTAAGTTGAAAATGTAGTGTTTCCTTCCAATTTACAGTAAATAGTTTCAATAGCCAGACGGAAAGTATTTATAAAATTAACACTTAAAACAATAAGTTCACCATAACTGTAAATGATCTCATATGTCATTCGGATTTTATATGTTTGTTTTGTGTAATGCAAAAAGACATTAAAGAATGTTTGTCAGAGGGTTTTTTGAGCAAACAGTTTTGCGCAATGGAACTAAATGGGTCAATAGGAACTAAAAAAGTCTGATTATGAACACTCATTTTTTTATAACAGAAGAAAGTTTCTTGAGGGTAAGTAAATAATGACAGAGTTAATATTGTGGCGTGGACTGTCTCTTTAAACTCATTCTTTCATTTTCTTTTTAGTGTAGTCCCTTTATTTATCAGGGGTTGCCACAGCGGAATGAACCACCAACTTATTCAGCATATGTTTTACACAGCGGATGCCCTTTTAGCTGCAACCATCACTGGGACAATCCCTTTAAACTAAATGCTTTAAATCAATTTATTTTAATTTGTTTTATGAGCACATTATGTCAAGATTCAGCCCAGTTTCTGATTGTAGAAAGCCTGTTCATATTTTAGAAATCTTAGAACCTGTTACAGTATGTTGGGCCAGTGGGCATTTCTGTGTGGAGTTTGCATGTTCTCCTCGTGTTCACGTGGGTTTCCTCCAGGTGCTCTGTTTTCCCCCTCAAGTCCATAGTTTATGTGTGTAAATGAGAGTGTGTGAGTGTTTTCCAGTAATGGGTTGCAGCTGGAAGGGCATCCGCTGCTTAAATTATATGCTGGTTAAGTTGGCGGTTCATTCTGCTGTGGGAACCTTTGATTAATAAAGGGACTAATCCGAAAAGAAAATGAATGAATGAATGTCTGACTCAACCACTTGAATAAAAATCCTGTTTCTTACATTTCATATCAGCAGTCTATAAAATTATAATTACCCATATTGATTTTTTAAGCACATTGGAAATTAAATTAAACACAATTTACTAATATAAAGACCTAATTGTGATACAGCTGAAAATTATAGATGTTTATATTCACAACTCTGTA